TGGCGAGAGCGGGCTTCCTCGCCCCCGCCTGGCGCCGATCCCCAAGGCGGCCTCCGACCCCCAGGTTTCGGCCTGTGCTTCAGGGCCAGGGGCCAGAAGGGGGCCGTGCGGCTCCTCGTTCCGCTTTCCTTCGTGCGCAACTCCTAGTCACAGAAAACGGACCCGAAGTGCCGCTGCGCTGTTCAGCACCATGGGGCGGGGTCCGCCACTCTTCCTCCACCGGAAGCTGCCACCCGTGTTCCACTGCTTCCCCACGTGTTCCCTAGCGCAGGGCCTGAGACTCGTGAATGCTCAGGGAGCTGCGGAGGGGAAGGGGGCCATTCTGTGAAATGATTTTTTTGTCTTCATCAGGTACGGTTGCAATGCTTGGAATCGCGATGTTTTGAATAAGGCCCAGTGGGGGGGCCTAGCTGAGAGGCGCACAAGGAGGGCTGGTGCAGGGAACGTGGGTGGGGGAGGCTTTTCTGCCCCTCTCACAGGGCCGGAACTATGAAGCCGATCCGTGGGAGACTCCCAGCGGATCGGAGAAAGGGCGTCTTCAGGCGGCACAGAGCTGGACTGCGGAATCCGCTACCACGGGGCACAGCAATAGCCACAGGCTTATGGAGGAGGGAGCGGGGTGGGCTCCAGCAAGGAAGCCGAGGCCCTGAATCTGGAACAGCGCGGCTGGGATGTCAGGGCAGAGCACCCTGGGGGACGTTCACTCAGAGGGTTCGAGTGTGTTAACCGCCCTGCAGTTCCCTGTATCCCCCTTGGTTCCCCGTTAAAGCAGTGCTCCATTGGCCGTTACCCGGTCCTCTGATAGAGCGGCTGAGTGGAGGGAGGTGCTGCATGTTTGTGTAAGAAGGTCGGTGACTCCATGTTTGAGTGCTTTCGGAACCCTGGGATGGACACCCTCTGGGCCTGGGGATTTCCTGGGCGTCTGTGTGCAGATGAGGCTGAGCCCGCCCTCTTTCGCCATTAATACCTACCCGGATTCCACGGACTCTCTTGCTGAATGCCCCAGTGCAAGAACAGAGACCCCCCCGTATCCCCCGCCATGATTAAAAGAATTCATTAGGCTTCTCCACAATCTTATCTTCCTTCAGTACTCCTTTAATCGCACCGTCATTCAGTGGACCAAGGTTTCCTCCCTCTGATAAATTTCAAGAATTCTTTATTGTTGACCTTGATATCGTTAGCACAGAGTGTCTCAAAATGCATCTCAACAGCTTGTGCTCCCCTTTCATCCATCCATCTAGGCAAAATGCTCGTTTTCTGAAGGAATTCTCTCTCTCTCGACTGGCATCCTTGGCACAGGTGGTTAGCCATGCTGGCGACTTCTTGGGCATCTAACCTGGGGCGTGTGTGCCAGCCGAGCCGAGCCGAGCCGAGCCGAGCCTCTTGTGGGCCTTTAGCCTCTTGGTTCACCATTGCAGCTTCCTCTTTATCAGTTTCCCCATGTTAGAGAAGTTTTCCTCTTTTGCTGTGAAATTCTCCTCTCCAATATATCTTATGGAGCCGGGGATCAGACTGGATGGTCTGGGAGGCCCCTTCTGACTCGCTCTGGTTCTGTGTTTCTATGTTAAATCTGATAGTGTTGTGGTCACTACTCCCGTCAGTTCAACATTTGCACCCCATACCGTGTTCTGGCCGCCCTCAGGTGGGATCAGATCCAGACCTGCCTCCCCTCTGCCTGATCCCATGAGCAGCAGTCCTTTAACACTTGAGAAAACGTTTTTCCTCCAAATGTTTTCCCACGTGCAGGACGTGCTCCAACGGAGCAAAGCTCAGGGAACCGAGGTTCCATTTGGATGCCAAGAAGCACTTCCTGACAGTCGGGATCCCAAGGGGGTGGAATGGGCTTCCCCGGGAGGAGGTTGAGGCCCCATCGGTGCGCGTGTTCAAGGACAGGCTGGACGTGCACATGGTGGGCATGTCGTGAGCCGAGCCGGCTGGAGCCGGGGGTCAGACTAGATGGCCCGGGAGGCCCCTTCCGGCTCGCCCTGTTTCTGTGCTTCTGTGCTTGTCCTGTGGACGTGCAGGCAGCTCAGACTCCCAAGTGTCCCTTTTCAGTGCCTTTTCTGAGGCATCCTGGATTTCACGTCCCACCTCAAGATCACCCTGGCACTGCAGCGTGTTCCTTGCCTGAGAGCGACCTTGGGGCCGGGTGTTTTCAGAGCCTGCTGAGCTTTCCTTGCAGCACGGGGCCACACTCGCTCCGGGACACCCTTCCCTGCCCTTCCGGGAGAGCTGCTATCCAGAGGGGATCATCTTCCACCTGCTCTCTCCCTCCCGCCACGCTTCTGCGATGCCCTCTGTGCTGAAGTTCTCCTTTAAAATCAGGCACTGGCTCCCTGGCTCGGCTTGGGGGCCGTTCACATCCACGCAGAGACACCTCAGAGCAGCGCTCCGCTCCAGGCTTCTGGTTCGGCCCCTGGACTAGTGGGCACGCTTCACCGGGTGCTTGTGGCCTGCTTCCTCTGCTCCTGCATTCGGACAGTCGGGCACTGTTCCCTCTTCGCCCCCCAGGAATGATGTCCCTGAGCCGGAGGCTTCCCGCCTCCGCCGGCTCTCCCTCCGGGTTCAGGCGGAGATGCTCCGCAGCGCCTTTCTGGCGTTTTGCGCCAGCAGCCCGATCCTGCTCTGGTCTGAGTGCAGCCAGTCGCTCCCAGGCAGGCCCAGCTTGTCCCGCGATGCGGCCCAGCACCTGAACCCTCCCCTCCCCTCCCCTCCCCTCCAGCCATGCTTTGAGGCCCCTCCGCTGGGCCTGCCCGGCTGGCCCTGCAGGTGGACCAGGGCGCACTTCAGAGAGAGCCACCTTGGGGCTCCTGGATCGCCACCTTCTTCTAGCAGCCCAGGTGTGGTGGCCAGGACATCCCAGCAACTCTTCCCCAAATCCCCGGTAGCTGCATGGAGCACGACCATGACCCCCACCTCCCCAGTGCTAGCCAGAAAGCTCCCCGGATGGGGCATGCCCTCCACAACCTCCACACCGCGCGGTCTACTCACCCACCAGAAACGCAGCTGTCTGTGTGTCTCTTCCTGCCATTAGGCAGCACCTCCTGCTGCTGTGAGCCCCATGGAGGCCCATCCTCAGTGAGGGAGCTGCCCTCCCACTGCCCCTCTGAGCATCCCCTGCTCAGCAGCCGCAGCTGAGCCAGCAAACTTGCTCCCGGCGGGCCAGGAGCTCCTTGCACCCCGAGCCACCCCCGGCGTGTGTCCAGCCGGCAGCCCGTCAGGCAGCTGACACACAGGGTGGTCCCCCCAGCCCCACACTTCTAGCAGACACGCTCCTGCAGCGGCTGGAGCCAGAGAAGGAGAGGAGGTGGGGGGCTGTGCGGTGCAGCCGGACTGCCGTTCGCAGCGGGCGCTCCCCCCACCCCGGCTGCTGCCCCCGCGCCGGCGCTCTCCTGCTGACGGCCATGCGCTCGGCCGTTGGCCTACCTGCAGCCTCACCTGGTCCGTCTCCAAGCAGGCGGCCCCCTCCCCGCCCGCGGAAACAATTGCCCAGGAACCGGCACTTCCCACAGCGGCCCTCGGGCACGTGCGAGAGGCTAGAGAGGGTTTGCAGAAGGCAGCTCCAACTGCCGCTGCAAGCAAAAAGCAGAGGCCTCAGCGAACGAGAAGACGGACGGTCCTCCGAGCAGGGCGGGAGGCCAGGGGGGTCCTGCCATGAAGGATTGTGGGGTCGCAGCTGGAGGCCCGGGGAAGGGACGGGGTGCCCGCCGCAGGGAGCCTGGCACAGGCGGTTCCACAGGCACCGTGGCACGTCGCTCGCCTGTACGGTGGGCCGCGCGTGCTGCACAAGCTCAGGCGTTGCCCTGCCCTTGGGGGGAGGCTGAGCACCCGTCTCCCCAGCCGTCGCACTGCCCGCCAGGAGCTTTTCAAAAGGCGGACCCACAGGTGGGGGCTGGGAGCGGTGGCTCTTGCGGCTGGCAGCAGGGGAAGGGGCTGCGGGGAAGGGGCCGGCGTGACTCGGGCATGGCTGCTCGGAGCGCAGAGGCTGCTCAGGGCTCCCAGAATCCTCCTGGGGTGGGGATCGTGTCTGTGTGTGGGGGGGGTCTGGACCAGAGCTGATCCAGGGTGAAAGGCTGGCCAAATCCCCAGCGGCTGGCGCCAGGCGGCGCTGCGGCTGGGCTCCCAGGCAGGGCCCGCGTGGGCACGTGGCCTGGCGTGGGCACCGCACGTCCGGGCTGGAGGGCGTCCGCTGGCCAGGCGGCCCAGACGCGGTGCCTTCGGTGGGGCCTGCGCGGCTCGCGTGTTCCACCTCGCTCCGGGGGCCTCGGCCGTCTCCGAGCCCCAGTTCTTCTCAGCATCCCTGTGGGAAACCCAGTGGGATCCTGGAGAGTCCAGCCTGCTCCCTGCAGAGGGCCCGTTTCTCCCTCCCAAGACCGTCCCCCACAGAGCCTTCGCGGCTCAGGCTGCCCAGTCACAGAACGACAGGAGAGCTGCGCGGGGAGCATGGAGGGCCCCCAGCCGCAATGCTGGGGGGGGGGGCACGGCGGCCTCCCGGAGGAGCCCGTGGGTGGCCCCTGCCCCTCGGGGCCAGGGGCTGGCTTCAGCCTCGGGGCAGGCAGGGTGCTCGGGGTGCCAGTTGCTGGGGGGCTGGGGGAGGGCTGCCCCTCGTCCTGCTTGGGGGCTTCCCTGGGTGGCTGCGGGCGGCTCGCTGAGCGGAGGCCTTGGCTGGAAGGTGCTCGGGCCCGGCCTCAGGCTCCTCCCGCGCTCCTGCGCTTTCCGAGGGTCCCAGGACGGCTGCCCAGAGGGGTCCGGACCATACGGGGGTCTGCCGGGTGCTGCCCAGCAGAGGAAGCAGACCCCGCATGCTCTGGTCCAGTCCCAGGAGTGCGCTGGGGGGCTGCGCATTGCGGCCCAGGGGAGCACTTGATGCGGCCCCACACGGGAAGGGGGGCAGGGCCCTGGCCGGAGCATCTGGCTGGTGGGGCGGGGGCCAGTGCGGTGCGGGCGGGGGGCAGGAGAGCGGCTGCCTGCTGGGACTGACCCGGCCCTCCTCCTCTCCAGGCGACGGGAACCCGAAGGAGAGCAGCCCGTTCATCAACAGCACTGACCTGGAGAAGGGGAAGGAGTACGACGGGAAGAACATGGCGCTCTTCGAGGTCAGCCGCGGGAGGCCGTGCGGGGGGCCGGGGGCTCGGCTCAGCCGTAACACACGCTGGGCCAGCGGAGGGCCCGGGCGCCTCCCCCCACTGGCCGCTCCAGCTGCAGGGCCGGGGGGCCGGTGAGGGGGGACCTCCGGGGCGCTGGGACCCCTCTGATGGGCGGCTGGCCCTGGAGCCTCCTCCGCCCCGAGGGCCGTGGGAGCCGGGGAGCTGCAGCCCCACGGAGGGAGTGGCCGGGCCGTGGGAGGCGGGTTGGGGGCGGAAGGGCCGCTGGCTCACCAGGCCGCCCTCCCTGCACAGGAGGAGATGGACACCAGCCCCATGGTGTCCTCGCTGCTCAGCGGCCTGGCCAACTACACCAACCTGCCGCAGGGCAGCCGGGAGCACGAGGAGGCAGAGAACAACGAGGGGGCCAAGAAGAAGCCCGTCAAGGCGAGTGGGGCCGCGGGGGGGGGGGGGTCTCCCCGAGGGAGGGGAGGCCGCGGGCTCTGGGCAGGGGGCAGGGCAAGTCGTTGCTGCTGGGGGGCAGGTGCTGAGCCGCGGGGGCTCCCCACTGAGCCCATCCGGAAAGCCCCGTCCTGCCCTGACGGGCTGTGGCTTGTGGTGGGACGCGGGCGTTTGCCCCCCTCGGAGTCATGCAGTGGTGGGGCGGAGCAGAGCCGCCCCAGCCCCTCGTGTCCTGGTGGGACCGCATGCCCCCCCCCCC